GATAGATATATATTGTTATAATATAATATGATATATATATTATTATTATTATACTTACCCAATCGAATACAGGTTTTGACCTAATTATAGAATCTGTAGTAGTATATAATGAACCCTATCGAGTTTTCGTATATGATTGAATTTCACCTCCTTTAATTTTCATAACTATCATTTGCTCTTTATAATGGCTATTAGCAATATGTGATCTATTAAAAAATTCCAAAATGCTATTACAATTAGTAATAACGACTTTAACAGAATCAATCTTTGCTAAATCTGATGCAATCAGATTTATAGCATGTGATGCATATCTTAAATTTAAAATAAAAGAATACTCTTTATGCATAATTTGACATGCTACTCTTAAGTTAGATCCATGGTCTGTTACAATTGCTGCAAAATTTACAATACAAATATTTCGTAATACTTTTTGAATTTCATTAGCCATAAATTCTCCAGTTTGACTTTCAGTATATGATTTAAGCTTTATTAAGTATTCTTTTCATTTTGGAGTTGTAATAATATAATTGTAGATTGAATCGCCTTGTGGAGAAGTCCATCCATCAAGACCTAAATAAATTAACTAATTATTAATCATAATTTAATTACAGTAAAATCTCTATAAGTGACATGCTTTGAACCAAACTTTAACAATATGCACCTAGAGAATTATAAGAAAAAATTTATTTATAAAGATTATTCATATAGTTAGATCTGAATTTAAGTATATATTTAGATAGTATATGTGTATTTATAGAAAAGCATTTATAAAGTTTCACTGTATTTGTTTTATAAAATTTAAGCTTACTAAGTGTAAGATTATGCTCATTCAATAGTTCATGTTCAATTTTTCTATCAATTCTAGCAGTTTCTTGTTCCAAAAGTCTAACAGAAAGAATAGTACGTGATAGTAAGGTATATCCTGAAATGGCAAGCTTAAAAAGATCGATAATAAATGGATTTTCTATTGTTTGAAATGAGAATCCACAGCAAACCCATGCTTTAAGAATTGCTTGATCAAGTTCTTTAGCTTTAGCATCAGAAATAGGTGTAATATGCTGATAGTGTGTAGTAATATTTGATTGGATTATATTTTTTGATCGAATTATTGGTTTTGAAACATTGTCTGCTAAATTTTCTTGCCATTTTATTTTTATATCCTCAGGTACATTATTACAAATTCTAGCCAAATGAACTTTCATTTATTGTAGATGTCCTCTAGACCAATTTAAAGAACACCATTTACAGTTTGCCTTATAAAATCCTCATCCTAAACTATCACCTTTAACAACATCATTTCATACTTCATCATCTTTTTTATCTCTGGTATATTTTCTTTTTTTTTGATTAATTGTTGAAGATTCTGCTTTGTCAGAAGTATATTCATCAGAAGTATCTGAAATATATTGTGCTTCGTTATTATAATTTTGTATTGGATCATTCATATTTTTAATATAAATTTAAGTGTTAGAGGTAATAATTTTAATCAAAATATTTTTTACAACACACATATATATAAAATTTTACACAAAATATTGTATTAAAAGAATTATATTATTTTACACTAAGCTTGCTAAAACTAAAA